ATTCTTTTGAAGTCTCTGATTCTTGGATCATAGCTCCCTTTCCTTCAGGTTTTGAAATCTACTTACTTGAAGAGCAAATCAGTTTTTCCTCTTGTTGAAAAATTAAGTTCATAGTTTTTTCTCTCTCTTTGCATTTCCAATAAATTACCAGCAAGATGAAGCTGCAATTTGTCACACGGGCTTGGTTTTAGGATAAGAGTTTGACAGATACCTGCGTGACTGACCTTTTGAAGTCTCTGATTCTTGGATCATAGCTCCCTTTCCTTCAGGTTTTGAAATCTACTTACTTGAAGAGCAAATCAGTTTTTCCTCTTGTTGAAAAATTAAGTTCATAGTTTTTTCTCTCTCTTTGCATTTCCAATAAATTACCAGCAAGATGAAGCTGCAATTTGTCACACGGGCTTGGTTTTAGAATAAGAGTTTGACAGATACCTGCATGACTGACACCTTCATTAGGACCTTATTTTTCTTTTGTGTCTGTTTTGTGCCATTATCCTTATCTAACCCTGTTGACAGGTGATTGTATATGAACACTAAAAATGTTTATCCTCCATCCATCCATGCACCTATTGATCCATCTTTATCCTTATACTACAGCTTTTAGTGCTCAGTAATATGGAAGGAAAGGCGGGCTATGTTACAGACCCTGCTTCACATTTCTGACTCATATTTTTATATAACTTCTCTACTTTTCACTGTCTTAAACTGTAAAATGTTTGGAGTCCAGGATATCATCCCTTCAGCCACAGAACTGCATTTTTTAAGTTTTCATTTCCTGCTTCTGCTGTCCATCCCATCAGGACAGAGCACACAGGGCTCCTAGACTTACCTCTACTCAAATCAGGTGATTTTTAACCCTCTTATCACTGATTCTGAATTACTAGATAATTCCAGAATTACTTGGACATATAACCATCTTTTGAAGATTAGCATTCCCCTCTGAAAATTGTTCTAAATATCTCTACATATCCTAATTACTTTTTTTTGTAGCCTTTCAGTTAAGGCTTTGAACCTTCTAGGATGGTATCCAGAGTCATTGCCAGAGGCCCATTATTCCTGCAATGCCAGTCACAATTCAAAGGTGCGTGCTCATTTCATGAACACGTCATATCTGCTCCAAAGTTAAACTATCTAGAAGGTTTTGAGGCCATTAATGTTCTCCCATATCCTTCACATTTTTGATACTTAGTTTTCAAGTCACCAGAGATGTGTATCTTGTTTCTTATGGCGGTATCTATTCATTCCTTTGCCATTCAGCAAAAGTTGGGAAAAGTTGGCAAAATGTCAGTTCTCAGGTGCCTACTGGGAAAATTTCCATAAGCACTGAATGGTCCATACCTGTAATCCCAGCATCCGTGGGGAGCAAACAGGAGGATGGTTTGAGGCTATCCTTGCCTAGCCTGTCATAGCCCAGGCCTCTCTCTTACTCAAAGGAAAATAAAAAAGTAGTAACAAACTCTGTAGGGATTTTCTGTTGGCTATGGAGGGTTCAAGTAGTTTTAAGATTTTGACCTTGTTTTGCTTTATTTTTTCTTTTGTATTCAATAATATTTTAGCTTCTTAAAAATAATTTCCATTTTCCAGTGCTGCTTCTGTCTTCTGGTCCCTTCTCCCCTTATTCCCAGCACCCCATGAGAATCCTTCACATTACCGATACAGCACAAGGAGTTATTCACAGCTTTTTCTTCCAAAGTGGGACGCCTAACTTCCTGTAATCTCATATAACTGATGAGTGTGTTAAGCTGTTTCTAGAAATCTCATTGAACACAGCTTTGGAATGATGATTTCCAAGTATAGTTCTGACCCCTCACGTACTTGCTCTATTTGTTATTTTTAGATGAATGTCTAGTGTAATTTCAAATTCAACATTCCAGAGCATGACTGACTCTCCTTTCTCTGCAACCTGCTTCTTTCCTGTCTCCTGCCCAATCATTTGCAGCATCATCAGACCACTCACTCAGAAACATGGACGTTCTTCACAACACTGGTTATATTCCTTAAACATCTGACTTAGCAGCAAGACCTTCAGCACTGCCTCATTCATTTCTTAGCATCTCCATCACAATCAGACCTTTATCCTGGACACCACCAAGTATCTCTGCTTTTACTCTTTTCTCTTGTAGTCTGGTTCCTGAACAACAATCAGAGAGCGATCTTTTAAAAACACATTAATTAAACTGTTCACCTGTTGGTTAAAATCCTTCCAAAGGTTCACCAGTACACCAGAATAACTGAGAAGCAATTTACCATGGCTTTGATGAACTGACTTCGCTCAGCCCTCTAACCTCATCTCATCGACATCTACCTCTTCCTGTGCCTTGAAAAGAACAGTCTTGTGTTGGGGTGTTTTCAGTTTCTGATAACTGGAAGGCCATCCCTTCAGACCTTCTTAAGGGCATCCCCCTTTCTATCAACCAGGTTTTGGCTCAAAAGGAAGCACCTCAGAGAAACCTTTCCTCCACTGGTCCAAGTACTGTCAGTCACTGTTTTTACCTCTGCATTATTGTTTTTCCTGGCAATTATTGTTACCAGAAATAACCATAGTTACTGTTTACTTTTCCATTTTCAATGCAATCTGTTAGGGCAAGAGCCCAGTCTGTCTCTGTAAGCTGGAGAGCTGGCATCAGCAGAGTCTGGAGCACAGAAGCCCCCAGTTCAGGGCTGTGATATGTAGAAAACACAAATGTCTCCTGCTGAGCCTCAAGTGAAACTAGCTGTCTGTAAGTACCTTGTAAACTTACTAACAAACTTTCCCCCGGGAACAGGAATCTGTAGACTACTGACCTCATTCCATCTTGGGAAGTAAATGAAATATATTTTTGATATTAAAACAACAATATATACATTCAGAGAAATAAGGACATTACATCAAGAATTATCCCATTATTCTTCCGGCTTAGATGAATCTGATTCATTAAGGAAATTTTACTCTACCACAGATACAGAGGACCACCTCCTAAACAACCCAGCAGGAAAAAATGCCAGCACACATGGATGTCATCAAAGCATCCATGCCCGGTGCAAATCCAGATCTCTTCCAGAACAGGGAATGAAACAATGTAGTTGGGAACTTCGGCATTTCATTATTGATAGAACCCACTCTAGAGAAAACCACGTTCTAATATCCTGGGTGAGAACCAAAGAAAGAGAAAAAAAAATAACCCACTCGAAAGAAAATATACACAATGGTTTGCCGGGACACAAAGGGGAACCTAAAAGTGCCAGGCAGGGCAGGAAATGTGGAGCTCTTCAGAATTTAAGAATTCCAAGACAGTGTCAGCAGACTCTTACTGCAAAGCATTAAATCAAGTGAAGGTGGACCCTGTGCACAGCATCCTGATAACAGGACAGCAGAATTCTAGTCTGGGAAGCCAACAAAGCAATCACAAGCATCATTAAATAAAAATTAGTGCAGATGGTGCCCAGTATGGGGTGGCTTCGGGGTGGAGCTGCGGACAGCACTTCCTGGAAACTGCCTTCAGCGGGACTCAGGAGGAAGCAGTTTTGAAGCTGGGGATACAAGGTGACCTGCAGGAGCCCTTATTTATCCGACCTTCGGGAGCTGGTGGCACCCTTTCTAACAGCCATCACCTGAATTACGCTACTTGTGTCTGGGATCTTAGGAGCTGGGGGGGTGGGGGTGGATGGAAAAGGGCCTGAGATAGACCCCTGAAAGACAGGTTCGAACACATTTCCGCGGGCTGGCTGCTACCCTCCTTTAACAAACTCCAAGGCTCCCAGGGCCCCTGTGTAAGAGGCTCCCGGGTGACCCGCCCCATCACCTCTTTATTCTCTAAAGGTAAGAGTGTGGGGACCTGCGGGGAGGGTGCACCCAGAGTCCCCTCACTAATGGAAGTGCCTCTAGGAGCACTTGGAAGAGGTGGCCGGGACTGCAGGGCTGGGCGGATCCAGGCTCCAAGCAGTCAAGGGAGGTGCACGGAGGCCTGGGGCCAGGAGGGGAGGGCAGCGGGTGGGCGGCGGGGTGGGCAGAGGGGAGGGCTGAGGGAGCTCAGAGGGGAGGGCAGAGGGGAGG